AGTGGAAAGTAATCATAATATAATCTGCTTCCTTTTTTCATGACATGCAACCCATGCGACACAGCTCACTCGGGGCGGTAGAAGGAAACGACCAAATTGTTGGCAAGCTGCTTCACGAAGTACAGCCGAAGATGATACACGTGTGTTAATGGGAATTGTTTTGTTATATCTTTTCCCGATTCCGATCAAACTATGTCCTCAACCATGTATATTACAACAAAGCAGGCAAGCAATTTATCATTATCCTTCTACCACTCCGATCAAGCTGTGTTGCGGAGAGAGTTTGTCGTGGTAGTCGTAGCCAGGCATGGAAAATCATTTGCATTCATTTCGTGCATTCATTTACATTCATTTGCCTCTTACTTTTTTCTTCAATATCATTCCGCAAAATGATGTATAGAGCTTTTGTAGGTTTTTTTTATTAGCTACAACTTTTGTTAACAAGATAAATCCGTATGTATGGCAAACCAGAGCGAACAGAAGCCACTACTGTTTTTCAGTGAATGTATTTTACATTCACTGAAAAACAGTAACAAGTTCTGCCCGCTCTAGTTCGTGATGCATAAGAGATACAGATTTGCATTATGACCAAAAGTTGTACCTAATAACAAAACCTACAAAAGTTCCATATATCATTTTGCGGAATGCTGCTGATGAAAAAAGTTAGAGGCAAATGAATGTAAATGAATGTATGCAATGAATGCAAATGATTTTCCATGCCTGGTCGTAGCAAGCGTTTTGTCTGTATCGTTGGATCTTCAGAACTGGTCTGGAATTATGTTTAATGCCTATTACGGTGAAAATCATTTCAATAAAGCCGGAGACGAACCTGCGTTCGGCTGAAAGTCTCCTTAATAAAGATAACTAACTTTTCAGCATGATCTATTAGAGTCATCCTCAGAATTCGATTCACTTGGAATTCTTCTCGGAATTTCCATGAAACTCGCATCTATCTCTTCAGTATTCCTGTTAAGGTAGCCTGAGAAGTGCTTATAAATTATCTTAATGATTCGCTTCGAGTTATCCTCACAATATCTTGCCTAACATTTGAAAACGGCACTAGAACTTTTGTAAACAGAAGTTGTAAGGCCCTTTACACGTGAACCGTAGTACGCCCACACAAACAAGCAAACAAACAACATCATCGAAATTCAGGAAATTCACCCCTTCCCAATAGTGGTTTGTTTTATTGATTTGTGCCGTTTTTAAATGTTACGCCTGATATATTATATAAAACTCTCCTCAGAATCACCATGATATTCACTTCAGAAATTTCTTTTCAAATTCAGTCGAATGCGTTGGTTTTGTAACACTAACACTGGAAATGGAAACGGCGGCGTGAAAAACTGGGATGGAAAGTAGATGCCATACATAATTCTACAGAGTATTAAAGATCGGGTAAGATTTCGCACACGATACGATAAATGAAAGAAGATTGTACACAGAAAAAAAAGCTGTTGAATATTACATCCAAACTGCTGCAACCAGGTCAATCCATCGGTTGTGTAATATAACGTTGTACGATGTACATCGATTTTGCGAACAAAATTACATCCATTGATGTAATATTGTATCTGCTTTTTGCTATTACATCATTATTTTATACATCAGCTTGAATTACATTGATCGATATTACATTTTTTTTTGCTGTGTACATAGATTTATTCACCACTGTAATTAAATGTTGCCTCTTATCTTTATAGATCTTCAGTCAACGAAATGCTTCCTGAAACGGTCACACAATTCAGTCATCCTCCGATATAGCGTAATCTATTTATATTTTAATATTGTTTTGCGCAACCAGTACTATATAGAGGTATATGTCACTAGATATTATAATAGTTGGGTTTTTGATCAAATTTCCGTCCTACTTAGCACAACCCACGCTTTACATCTCTTTTTTGAACGGGTTTAATCAAAAAATGAAATCTTTCTGTCAAAGATGCCTTTTAAATTTATTCACCTTTCCATACGTACGGTTAGAGTTGATAAAGACTCACAAATTATTGAGATATTGTTAAAAATCTAACACTGCTTCTTAATTCTAAATTCGTTCTAAGAGTTTCAATTCCGTCCTAACGCATTGAAACGCTTTTAGATTTTCTTCGTCCTATACGGATAAACGCAGAAAAAGGGGATTCGCTAGGAGCGCTTCTTCTGTTTTGAGAACAATGAGCGTAAATATTCATACAATGCGCTCTAATAGGATTTATGTTGTAGCTAATGAACTGACACATCGGAACAAACCTATTATTGATTTGTGCACGGTGAAATCACTGATATTATTGATCTTTTCTGATCGATAGAACGGAAATGGGCGATTATTTACGACGAAGTAGCGCTCTACCCTACACACTTAATTTTGTTTCCCGAATCTCGGCAATTTTTGCCGTGATTTTCACAACATACATATTTAGCCGAGATCTCAGCAAAAGTGAAGTCTCGGAATATAATCTGCTGTGTAAATCTCGGTCAAACATTTCCGAGCTGGCAAAAACAAATCTATGGTACGGTCAACAGCGTAATCTCAACGTCCTTTTCAAAAGCACGTTTCGCTCACATTACTTTTATACAGCCAACCGGGGGAAATCGAAATGTATACCGGTTGTCCTCTAGAATAATAACAAAACAAAAAATCGCGACGAATTCAGCTAATTTTGAATTCGCATACAAAACAGCGAAACCATCTTTAAAATCACACCACCACATCCAATGCCGCGAGAAAATCTCATCGGCATCTCCATGACAGCCGACGGGAGCGATCGAAGCGAGAGCGCGATATGTTTGTGTGTGTGTTTCGTTTCGATGTGGTTTATTTTTATCCATTATGTCGCCTTGCCGCTGCTCTGCCGCGACCTATCATCCACACCAGCATCCCACAGCATAGCACAGCAGCATAAAGTGGACCCTACACGATGGCTTTTTATTGACAATAATCGTATTGTCAATACATTCTATATTGACGTCAATACATCGATATTGACAATATTTCTGTATTCACATCATCAATATTATTGTCAATATATTGATACGTGTGGGGTTCGCTTAACGGCCAGATATTAAGAGAGAGAGAGAGGGTTTGTTTTCATTTTAAGCCAAAGCAGATGAGCGAAGCATCGCATAGCTATACTCTCCACCACCTCGCTGCATGCTGCGGGGGGTTTTCGCTGGTCGGTGAGATCTAGAGTATCAATGGCCGTTATGTTGTTAATATTGCATGGGTGTGTGCGTGTTAGCGATTAGGATGACTTTCATTCGATTTTAAATTTGAGAGCTCGATCACTTTTTCAAAGAGACGTATCTGCTTTCGTGAACAAAGATTCAAACGTGAATTGGTGATTTAATTTGTTATTTCAAGTTGAACATTGCATTAGGTCCCAAGTAACATTGATAGATGCACTTCGTTGACTTTCTCTTGTGTTAATAACTTGAGCACATAACCGTTTCTTGTTGTGTTTGTCGTATTAGATGCTAGATAAAAGCTTCTTTTATCGATCTGCGTGTTGGAAATACCTGGGAATGTCTTTACAGGGCCGTGGGGATACAAAGAGAAAGTCGGCGAAGAGAATCTATCGATTTTACTTAGGATGTTATGCAATGGTCAGCTTGATTTGTATATTTATTCGTGACGCAATCTATCAGTTGAAAATTTTGTCTTAGGGTCTAGGAAGCTTTGGTTGAAACTCTATCGAAAGCATTGGTTGACGTTAGAATTTTTTTTTAGAGTAAAGATTGAATTTCATACAATTCTAGTCATTCTAGAATTTATGTAATAAGATATAATTATTCCTTTATGATTAAATAAAGTAACTTTAAATTTAAAACAAAGTTGCTTTCTAAATGTTTGGGTAATTTAATGCTTGATTTAGTGCTCTACATATATTTGAGCTCTGTTGTCATTTTAAAATGTATGCATGCCACAAAAAATTATAATTTTCTGGATAAAATATTGTTTGATCAAGCAAATCAGTGCTAACATTTGAAAACGGCACAAAAGCCATTTGTAAACAAATGGTTTGTGGGCCCTTTACTCACTACTTGAAGTACACCCACGCGACACAACAGCAACATCGGGTAGGGGAAATTTTCCCCTTCCTGACGATGCTGTTGGTTTGCGTGGGCGTTCTTCGGGTAGCGAGTAAAGGGCCCACAAACCATTTGTTTACAAATGGCTTTTGCGCCGTTTTCAAATGTTAGCACTGAAATATCTTAAAATTCTAAATTGTGCCCGGAAATGTTCCTAAATGGATTAACTTCCCCAGAAAATACAGAATCGTAAAAAACAACCCACCACTGTAACCGCGGGAGAGAGCCAACACGTGAGAGCGAGCCCGAGCTTCACTGGATGGTGTGCGTGAAATCTTGAGCGGGAGAGAAAGAGTGCATACAACAGAAAAAAAATTTCGCCCCTCGTCAAACACAATCGTTGTTCAATCGTCTAGCGAGAAAGATGTCGGCGGTGGCGGAGTTGTAGAAAAAACGCGACCTTTTCATCATCGAACGGCTTGTTATATCGGTTTTGTTCAGTGTCAAATCGGTGAAAAGTGTAAAAATTGTGTATCGTCGAGTGCGGTATGAAAAATTGGAACTGATCCGCGGTACGGAAGAAGGTTTCCACGAAGGCCGTGTGTGGGGTCATCATCACCATCGCTCTGGCTGAGGGCATTCAATTAATGGGTGGTGGTGTTTTGAAAAATGGACAACACTCGCGACGCTCAACCTGTATTATTCCCGTGCGGAAATCAAGTTGTGAAAATAGTGCTCGCTTTATGTAAGCGGTAAGGACTGCGCCATCCCGATCATTTATGTATGTTATTTATGTGCTTGGAGTGGGCGAAATACTTCTGTATGGAAAGAATTAATATTTCAGTGGAAAGAGTTGGTTCCAGAAAGATGATTCAAACGACTATTCTCTGTTCTATCGTCAGCACCTAAGCGGTTTGGATCAAAATTATATAATTTTAAATCATCGGCAAGTATTGGCGACTATCGCGACATTCCCAATGCAGCAGAACAAGTTTAAACGTGTGCCCTTCTAGCGAAGCAAAAGACGGGAGCCATTTCTAAATACTCTCGGATATTTTTTGACAGCTGGCCGCTGCTGGGAAAGCAGGAGTGTTGATTTTATTTTTACGACCAAGAATATCGGGAATTTAACGATCAAATTCATTAAACATCAGACGAGGCACCCATAAGTGGGCCGACGGCGACGACAAATCGAATAAGGTCAAAACAAGACTACAATATCATTTTTTCTCCCAGCTCAAAGTGGAAGCTCTTAAGTTAAACGTTACTATACTCCGTTTTGTGTGTTGTACCCAAGTGATATTATTTTTGCGGGTGGGCGAAGTGGAAAAAGCAAGTTTGTGTCCTACCTTAAACATGGATGTGTGTGAGTGTATCTATGCAAGCCGTATTTTGCAGTTTGAAAAGTGAAGAAAAAGTTATCTAAAAGCCAGATCTCCAGAGTAGAAAGTTGGGGTTATACAGAGTGTCCAAAAGTGGAAGAGTTTCTCGAGTTAAGTGCATTCTGAAAGTGGAAAACCGAATAGAAAGTAAAGCTTGCCCAGAGCAGCAAGAGTGTACAACTGGGAAGTTTGGTTGTGTTCCGTTTGTGTGCGTGTGGCTCTGTTTGTGTTATTCTCTGGGAATAGTACCAGCTGGAGACGTCCAGGGGTCGTTGTTGGTGCTGTTGCTGGAGTGTTGTCGCTGCCACAGTTCACAGTGGTGAGCAATATCCTGTAAGAGATCCTGCTGCAGCTGGGCTGGACTACGACAGCGAATATAGCATCGATTTTAAAGTAAGTAGCTAAGAAGACATGTGGATGATTTGCGCTGTGCGTTCATGTAAGCTATGTCTATAAATAAAACGTTGGATTGGGGGAATCAGTAAAGTAATGAAAAGCATATCACGATGGATCTACGCTTCTAATTTAACCATTATAGTACTATGGAGAATTGCTCACGTTTCGATGAAGGGAAAGTTTGCCATTGAAAATCAATACATTAAAGGCTCTTACCAACAAAGCTTTGATTCATTATTCAATGTTTTGAAATTGGGATACAATTTATAAAATTGAAAATTAAGATTATATCACATTCAAAATTAGGTTCCATACACTCATCGTTTCGTTACTGAATATCTAATGTTTGTTTTTCACCTGGCAAACGACATTAACTATTTAGAATGCATTCCATATAAAATAAACTGGTTAAAAGTGAAGTGCATCTGACACCATACTAAATTTTGATGGTGCAGAATTATGATAGGCAGTTGTCCTTTAAGTGAATCTCATTTAAGGTAGCTGAATTTCAGTTTGTATTTCAACTAATTTTCTACTATGTTTAATTGCAAGTCTTTCAAATAGCGAACGTTGCAATTCAATAAATTGACAGCTCAATTTTATTGGTTCAAAGTAACATTTCAAACTAAGAATCGATCTCGCCTCAGTTACACAAGACAAAGTGCTACATATATTTAAATTTGCAAACAGGGAACGGGCAGCATAAGCAGAGGGGCATGTCTCACATTAATGGTCACGAGTTCAAATCTCATCCCCGGATAAGGCTGAAATTTGCATATATCGTCAGATGCTGACAGGCTCATAAAAACCTTACATTTGTGTAGTCATCATTTCAGAAGTTATTGGAGGCTGAAAGCCTCCTAAATAAAGATAAATCAATCAATCAATCATTTCATAAGTAACGGCAAATGAAATGAATGTTTCAAGGCAAGCTGAACTCAGTGGCGACGCCCTAACCTCAATCTACCTGTTCAACAAGTCTCAATACGTAAACAAACAAAACAATATTGGTTCCATTGGATACAAATCAGTGAAACTAGAAAACCCTATGCCTTTTGAAACTGATTTGAATGTAAACATGACCCTAAATAACGTTTTCAGAGTTGTTGAACAGGTAAAAAGTGAGGTTACGCGACGCCACTGGCTGAACTAAACAATGAATGTTTGAAGGCAAGAAAACTCTGAACTAAACTGATCGCCTTCCCATAGGTTTTGTCTATTCGAGATGTCTAGTTAAAGCAAGCAATTAGAAGACAAATTGTACACTAGCACCATTTGGTGAGATAATTCTCATCTGAGTTGCCTACCATTCAATGGGTCTGATCCATCTAAATAACTTTGCCGAAGACAGTAATCTTCTATGTAGTCGATCTCTCAAGTTATAGGTACCACACACGATCAGACATGTTGTACGACCAAGTTCGCAGACTTGATCTGATCAGACTTCAAACATGTTGTACAACTTGTCGTAAGACTTCTACTTTTTTCAAACTTATTCACTACACAACTTATAGTGAAATCAGCAAGAATTTCGTACGTTCCCGACGGAGCTGGTGCCAGACGATTTCGACGGAGATTCCAGTGGTTACCAACGGAGTTTCTAGATAGAGATTCCAGATGTTCTCGACGGAATTTCTAGACGTTCCTGAAGGAGAAGGTTTCAGACGATTTTTCGACGGAAATTTCAAATGCTGCCAACGAATGTTCCAAACATTTTCGACAAAGGATTCCGACCGGAAATTCCAGGCGGTTTCAGATGCTGCCAACAAAGGTTCCAGACTTTCCCGACGGAGGACGATTCGGACGATTTCGACGAAGATTCCAGATGCTGCTTACGCTCAACTGATGAAGTTCCAAACGAACTCAACGGAGATTTCAGACTTCAAGATTTTAAATTGATCACCCCGGGCATATTCCGGTGCCCCAGGGGAAGTGAACAATTCTCGATAGGAACCAAAACTTACACGATGTCAAACTTCAAGCAACCAAACGTTATTTTTGCTAAAATCTCAATAAAATCTATTGCCGGACATTCTGCGATGACAATCTTGGCAAACGAAACTAAGCGTGTATGTTCCAGAATCTCAACAAAACTTAAAGCATCAGAATTATCATTTATCATCAATTTGATCAAGATCTCTCAAATATAAGCCTAGCTCTATTATTCAAGCTCAATAATTGTGTAAACAATTTCTTAGTTTAATTTCTCACTTTTGAAATATCTACCTAATGACCATTGAAAGAGAAAAACCAGCTTATGACCAGTGGCGTCGCGTCCACATGTGCAACCTGTGCACGACACAGGTGTAAACAATTAAAAAAATGCATTTAGATTTTTATGGATTTTATGGTCACATTATAGCTGTTCTTCTTTACTCCAGACCACAAGTGACCATGAATACACTATGTTATAGTGTGGTTCAATTAAATCTTCGACCTTGGTTTGCTTCAAAAAGGGTTAAATCCAGTTGGGATGGTCTGCCTAATCCCTAATGCATTGATTTCTAAGCATGTCGTTAAATAGTGCACCTAAAAGCGAGCTCTTTTGGGTGGCGGGTGGCAAGTTTGTGAATGGCCAAATGCCTGATGTAAGCCAAGCAGACCTTCTATCACCTCTTGAAAAATACCACAAATTTTCCACAGTACATGGCGGTTTGCACCACTGGTTGTAATTGAAGCTTTCAGCAGTCACGCGTCAAACGGGAGAAACACGGAAACAGCAGTCTGATACGCTTTGGACGTTATCATACTTGCAGACCGGTTTGAATGTGTGAGTTTAAATTAGAAGTACATTTGTGATGTATGGGTGCCCAAAGTGTGCATTTCTCGCTGTGCACTTAGATATCTGATTGCAGACAAAGAGAGTAATGGAGAAAGAGAGCGCAAAAGCCCGCTCTCACTCTCTTGTCAGTTGTGAATCTCTCAATTACCGATAGTTGCGCCGGTGCGCCTGCAAAACTTATGAGCTTCCCCTGGTTCATTCTGATAGTGTTGTTCTGATGAATAAAGAGTTGATTAATTCAAGTTCGCTACCCAGGGGACTATGAATTTTCTCTAGATTTTGGCATTGATTTGTATAAAAAAAAGGTTTTCGGAAGTGTTTGACGGATATTCTTTATTACACTTCAGTCGAAAGAGTTAGCCTTTTGATAAAAACGAGAATTCAAGCTGAACATTGCATTAGGTCCTAAGTAACATTGACAGATTCTCTCCGTCGACTTTCTCTTTGTATCTCCACGGTCATGTAAAGACATTCCCAGATATTTTCAGAACACAGATCGATAAAAGATGCTTTTATCTAGCATCTAAAACGACAAACACAACAAGAAATGGTTAGTTATTATTGTAAGTTATTAACGAACGAGAAAGTCGACGAAGAGAATCGATCAATATTACTTAGAACCTAATGCAATGTTCAGCTGGAATTAGTTAAGTTTTGCAATTCATCCTACTTCGGGTAGCGCGAAAAGGGCCATACAAGTTTTGTTTATACAAGATGATAGGTTCTTCAAATGTTACGTTAGGTAGTGATGGAGAATATGACCCTCGAATTCATGGAGCATTGAAAAATAAAACAAAAACTAACATATGTTGGTAAACTATAACGAACAAAGCTTGGTGTACAGGTAAACAAATGAGGCACGCGACGCCTCTGCTTATGACTAACAGTCTCGTTAATAAAGATGCCCTAACTTAACTGGAGCATTTAGCAAAGTAGCATTTCTGCCTTTTGAAAGAATTACAATTAGATTACACTAGTTTACAGCATTTTTGAACTCGGTAAGGTGATGATCATTTCCAATGCAAAATCCTACGCTGAATTCAATGCCGTGGTCAGAAAAAATTAAAGTAGAGCCATTTTTGAGGTATACAAAAATTTCGATTTTTTGAATTTTAGACAAAAGTACGATTACTAAAATGTCAATATCTTTGGAACTAATGCACCAATTTTAAATCTTTTTTTATGAAAATGAAGCTAAATAAATTTTCTATCGTTTACTTGAATATTATGTCTTTATTAAAAATTTAATTTTGAAGTCATTTAAAAATTTACAGCATTTTTTTTTTATTTTTCCTGCAAATTTTCCATAAAAATCTTGTTTTAATCAACATTTTTAATGGGATAAAAAGATTCAAAAAATCATTCCATAATTTATTCTTAAAGTCCATTCAAAACCGGAGAAAATGAGCCTTTAATGAATGAAATCGGTTGGAAATTGTCGAAGTTATGAGCATTTTTGTAAAACACTTAAAAATGTTGCTGAAATATAACAGCTTTAGAGTTCCTTTTCTAGGTGTCGTTGTAGGCATCCAAATCGCATGTAAAGTTTTCATGGGAGATTCTTTTCTCTACATATCAATTTGATTAAGGAATATCAGGATTTAAAACCGAGTTGATACAACAGAAATTTATTTAGGTTTTATTAAAAATGATTGAGAATCGAATGACTTTGTCTTCGATGTTTTGAACTTGTTTCTCGAATCAGAAACCAACAATAGTCACCCATCATTTCTTCATCCCAAAACCCTTGGTAACGACGTTCCATCATCTTCATTTGTTGGTGAAAACGTTCGCCGTGCTCATCACTCTCGTCACCAAGGTTTTCCGGGAAAAAATCCATGTGAGAATGTAGGAAATGTATCTTCAAAGACATATTCACACCTGTGTTCAGTGAAATAAAAGGATTTGAAATTAATTATATGTAACAAACACAATATTTTTGGTTTATACCTATTTTCTCATAATTTTTGAGCAATTCATCGACGGCTTCCTCATAATCTGGGCTTCTGAAATTTCCTAAAAAGGTTGTGACAACACGCTGGAACGATTTCCACGCTTCTTCCTCATCTGGTGTCAAAACTGTATTGAATACGGAATCATTGAGCAGTTTTTTGATCTGTGGGCCAACAAATACACCTTCCTTTATCTTTGCGTCAGATAAATTTGGAAATACCGATTTCAAGTACTGGAATGCCGGCCCTTCTTTTTGCAACGC